TCCCCATAAAAACCCTCGACTACTTCTTTTATTCCTTCTGTGTCTGTTTTTAAAAACCCATCTTTATCCTTTAACCCCGTCATTACCCTACCCTTGCTAACTATCTTTTTAAAAAAGTACCTGGTACATTTTTCCCCCTCTTCTAAATCCCTTTCTTTACTTCTTAAAATAACCCCCTTGCTCTTCTGTTCTGCTAAAAATGCCATTTCTTTCTTTACTTCTTTTATGTCTTCGTTAAAATCAAGGCCTTGTTGGTTTAGATTAAAATAACGCTCCAGTCGCTTCTGCAGTCCCAACATGCGTCTATCTTTTTCCTTACTTTTTCTCTTTCCTATCTCTCTAAAGAAGGTCCTCGTCTTACCCTTCACCATTTCCCACCACTGTGCTCGTGTGTCGAAGAAGTCCTGTAGCGTCTGCCACTGGCTGAACTGCTCCCTGTACTGGCTAACTACTCTATCATCTTCTAAAAGGGAGCAGTTCAGTTTCCAGGGCCCTCTTCCTACAGTCACACCCGAAGTTAGTGAAAGGGTGCACGTCAGCATCACGTGATCTGAGAAGAAAGTAGGGGTTATTCTAGCATCAGTTGGCGGGCAATCGCGGGTAAACAGATAGTCAATGCGAGAGGCTCTGGTGCCGTCACCACTGGTCCAGGTGAAGCCCTCCTCTCTTGGATGCAGGGTTTTAAAACAGTCAGTTAGTTTAAAATCCCTGCACAACCCTTGCAATAAAACGCTAGACCTATCTACCTTAAAATCTTCTCCCGCTCCTCTCCTATCTGCTCTACTTAAAACACAGTTAAAATCCCCACCCACCACTAGAGGATCCCTCCCCAGCATGTGGGACTGCAGGTCTTCTAAAAGTGCGCACCGGTCATGTTTGTTGTTAAAACCATATACGTTTAGCACGTTAAAATCCCTCCCCATAAAAGTACATTTGGCTAAAAGAGCACGCCCCCCAACCACCACTGTGCTCCCCTTCACCACCACCTGTGGGGTCTTGAATAAAATGGCAACACCATCGTTCGGTTAAAATTGGATCCACTCCAAATGGAGGGCCCGTGTTGCCACTTCTCCTCCCATTTACTGTAAGAGTTTAAAAAGGGTAGACCACACTCCTGTAATAAAAACACATCTGAATTAAAACTTTCTAAAAAGGATAAAACAGATTGTGCTCTTAGTTCAGTCTTAATACTCCTAACATTTATGGTGGTGATGTTAAAAGCCATAAAAGAGGTTAGTAAAAACAGTGCTAAAGAAGAAAGAAGGCATTAAAACAGTTTAAAAGGGGTTATTTAGAAACTTTCTCTCTCTCCCTGCGGGGTAAGGGGGGGTGGCAGGGAGAGGAGGTAAAAACTGGGTTTAAAAAGGATTCCTGGTTTGGGGAGTTGGATGGGAAGACCCTGGACTCATCCTCCCCCTGGGAGCTCTCCCACTCCAACTTGCCCTTTTTTTCCTCTCCCTGTTCGGGGTCGGAGAGCTCCTCAGCGTTTCTCTTCCTTAGGGGAAGGTGTTCGCCCAGGGTCTCTCCCACCACTCCCACACTCTCCTCGCTTGACAGTGTCGTTTCCGACACTGTCATCATGCTGTCCGACCCACTTGGGGAGCTCTCACTCACCATTTCTCCAGAGCCGTCTTTCTCGGCCCTTTCTCCTTCAGAGGTCGCTTCAGTCTGGGGCGGGGGGGTTGGGGTGGGGAGGGTTTTTGCCTCCACTCCCACTTCTCCCACCACCGCACCTTCCGCGCACTACACCTTCTCTACCACTTCCTCCACTACTGCCACCACTTCCTCGACAACCGCCACCACCTCCTCCACCACCTCCTCCACTACCGCCACCACCTCCTTCACCACCTCCTCCGCCACCTTGGCAACTGCCGCTTCCTTCTTCTGGCGCTCGGAAGCCCGGTCCGCAGCCGCCGCCTCCATCCTGCCAGCCCTGACCTTATTGGCCCAGGAGGAGGGGCAGCTGCGGATGAGGTGGGACCGCTCGCCACAGAGGTTGCACGACCTTCCATTCGTGCAATCCTCGTAGCGGTGGCCCACCTCCCGGCACTTCATGCAGACCACCTTGTCACAGGCGTCTGCTAGGTGGCCATGTTCACCACACTTACGGCACAGCTTGGGCTGGTCCTGGTAGTGAACATGGCCCCTGTTCTCTCCGAGGACTATGGTGGATGGGATGGCTTTCAACCCACCATAGCCCCCGGGATCCTCCCTTTGCTGGACAGTCACCCTCCAGGCCCCTGTCCAGATCCCGTCGGGATCCTTCACCTGGGTCAGGGGCCCCTTCACGTTGCAGTACCTGCCCAGCCATACTGCAACGTCCTCCGGCTGTACCGTCTCGTTGTACATACGGATAATAACAGTTTTAATGCTATTATCCGTCAGCTTGATCACCTCAAACATTGCTGCGAGGGATCCCTGCTTGTTCTGGAGTTTCCCCCAGAACTCCCTCAAGAAGCTGGCGCAGGCGAAACTGACATCAAAGCCCTTCCCATACGGGAGGGTCAAAATGCAGTTCACCTGCGCAGGAATGAAACGGAGTTCCTTTTGGAGGAATTTTCTGGAGAAATCCAACCGGGATAACTCCATTATTTTTCCTCCCTTCTCCTTTAAAAGGAGGCGCACGGCGTGGTGCCTCCGCATGCCAGCCTGTGCTGCTGACATGGTGGAGGCCCACTCCCTTTAACCCAACACCAGTGAGAAAATAAACACAATATAATAATAATAGTGGGGGAAGCTGGCAGGCCCAGCTATGCTAGGCTAGCAGGGCCTACCAAAACCCGGGACACAAAACAAACTAACTAGCACAGCACCCAACTAAACTTATCAACAATAGGGAAAGACTGTGAGGGGAAGGGGTTTAAACTAAACACAAAAAGACACGAAGGGAGGATGGGAAAAATAATAAAAAAACACACCAAACAAACAAATTTACAGGGGCTAGGAGGCTAGCAGGCCGCACTAGCAAGTCAGACTAAACTGACAAGCTAGCAGGCCGGGTGCTAAAACCTCCCAGTTGACAAAATAAACAAACAAACAAACAAGCAAACAAGAGGGACACGAGGGAAGGATGGGAAATATAATACAAAAAACACACCAAACAAACAATGTACAAGGGCTAGGAGGCTAGCAGGCCGTGCTAGCAAGTCAGTCTAAGCTAACAAGCTAGCAGGCCGGATGCCAAACCTCCCAGATGACAAAACAAACAAGAGGGAAAAAATGGGTATAAAACGAGGGAAATAATATGGATGGGGTGACAGGACACAGAAAAAACAAACAAATACTCACAAGACAAGCCAAATTGAGGGGCGAGGAAGGCTAGCAGGCCTCACCAGCAGGCCAGACTAAGCTAACCAGCTAGCAGGCCGGCCAGCCAACAAAAAGGCCCCCCAAGTGAACACAAAAGTCAATAAACAAAAAAACAAGACAAGGGAAAGTTCAGGGGATGGAAATACAATTTGAGGGGGTATGGATAATCCAATAAGATTGATTTTCCCCTCGTACGTGTGTGATCTCTGTAAATGTCTCAGAGAGCCTTATGGTTTCTCCCTACAATCTTTAAACTGACCTGCACAACTCTCCCTAGGCCCTAGAGTATCATGACCTGAGCCAAACCAGGCAACTAAGCTAACTGTTATGACAGGCTCAATACAACATCTTTAAAAAAGGACTGCTTTTAAAATACGGATTGATTGTCACAGACTTTTAAAGATAAAATAACATGAACCAGATTAGTCAATAATGATAAGGTGTGTGTGTGGCAGTGTGAGTAGTCACTCAGTAGTCATTGAAAAGGTTCCTGAGAGAGAAAAGAGGGGGAAAGAAAATTGTCATATTTCAATTGGATGAATACACTGGTCATTATGAGGTAGAGGTTTTCTTCTGTACACAGTCCAGTAATAAGATGGTCTGACAGCCATTGTGACAAAACACAGCAGAACAGGTATTAACATGCAGCTGAGTGCATGGATGCAGACAACATGACCACCACAACAGTACATCATTTCAGAGCTTCTTCCTGAAGAAGAGAGACTACAGCAGACAGTGAGAGAATGAAGATGTAAACCTACCTCTTTACAGCCTCCTGAGCTGGTTGCATCCTGCGCTTGTCTGACGAGCTGAGGGATTGTATGCTGAAACAAAAGAGGACATTTTTGAGTTATGTTTCAATTTTTGTTTTTTTGTAATTTATACTAAAAGCTTTTGTAACATTCTCAATATCGTCTGTTTCACGCTTTCTATCGGGATAATCAAATAAAGTTGTAAAAATACTCACATGTGTGACGGACTGGAGCTTGGTGTGAAAGAGATCAAAACAGACAATGTACCGGCAGGAAACATACACCACAGAAGTACATTTCCAAGTTTCATTCCAAAGTTTCTTTCTCAATGAGAGAGATTACAGAAGACATGAAGAGGCTATGAAAGTATGAGAAGGTCAACCTACTTCTTCGTCGTCCTACGCTTGGTTGTTGAGCTGGTTGGTGAGCTGGTTGACCTGAAAAAACAAAATGTATATTTTTTAGTTATAATTATTTTTTACCTTAAAAAGCTTTTTAAAATGTGGAAGAGATACTCACAATTGTGATGGACTGGAGGTTGGTGTGACATTGAAATAAATCAAAATGTACAATGAACTAACAAGAACCACATAATCGGATTCATTATTATTTTATTATAATTATTTAATCTTGAAGAATGCGTTTAAACCAGCATAGCACAGTCTCAGAAAATGTAATTGTCACATAGTAACTGTTTTCATTTTCAAGGTAATATTTTGTATCTCTACCTGGACGAGGCATCTTTTATCCTCTTTAGCAGCAACACTAATACACAGATTACAGCAATGAGACACACTGAACCCAACACTGCACTAACTACTGTACCTGTGAATGACAGAGATGACAAGAGAAGACAGAGGTCAAATTCACAGGTACACTACACCTGAAAGTTAAATCATAAAAGATCAAAAACAGTAGGTTGACTATGACTTGTCATTATTAGAATAACAGCCACTTACCACTGATCCAGTCATCATCAGAGACCTGAGATTGACCTAGTATAGAAATACACAGACAGTACTTCATCATGAACACAGGAAGTACTTCATCATGAACACTGGCAGTACTTCATCATGAACACTGGCAGTACTTCATCATGAACACTGGCAGTACTTCATCATGAACACAGGCAGTACTTCAAATCAAATCAAATCAAATGTATTGTCACATACACGTGTTAAGCAGATGTTATTGCGGGTGTAGCGAAATGCTTGTGTTTCTAGCTCCGACAGTGCAGTAATATCTATCAAGTAATATCTAACAATTTCACAACATTTACCCAATACACACAAATCTAAGTAAGGAATGGAATTAAGAATATATAAATAAATATATGGACAAGCAATGTCAGAGCGGCATAGACTAAGATACTTCATCATGACATCATGTTCCTGATCATGTCAATATATTACACATTGATCTATATACATTTCTCACCAGTAATTGAAGCTTGATCACTAGCTGGAATCACCATGGAAGCATTATTGGTGACATCACTGAAGGACAGTGACACAACACACCTAACCTCTTTGTCAGTTAGACTGGCCACTGCCACTGTTGCAGTAGTTGTCACAGTGATAGTTCCATTGGGATGGGTGACATCAACCGTGGTGGAATGTTCTATCATCATGTCATCCCAGGTCACTATAGGAGCAGGTCGTCCAGTAGCAGAACAGGACAGAGTGGTGTGACTGTTGTTGGTTTGTGTGATGAGGAGTGAGGGTCCATACAGCTCTATAGAACAACAACAGACACAGTTCACAGTGAATGTAAATACTATAATGTTTTCATGTACATGATTTACTAAATGATTCCATTTACATGATTTACTAAATGATTCCATTTTGATAAATGTTTGCAAGACTTTGGATGTATGATCTGATGAAATGGCTGCCTGAAGTTCTGAAGAAGTTGTTCTGGGTCAATCATTTACAGTACATTATGTTATCAGTTTTTACCATTGACTTGGAGGCAGGTCGTTCCGCTGATAGGTCCATCTGGAAAGGTGTTAAACAGACACTTGTAGCAGGACTCGTCTCCTCTTGACACTCCTCTGATGATGATAGAGCAGTTCTGCAGTCCCTCGTCTTCAAACTCCACTTTCCCCTTAAAATGTAGGTTGACATTGGGACCGCGTTTACTGTAGGTGGCCACATTTTCATTCGGCCCAGTTGTCACTTTTTGCCAGGTGACTTGCCGCACGTCTTTGGTTTTCATGAGCTCACAGTTTAAGACTGCATCTTCTCCCAGGGTTGCTGTGACAAACTGCTGTGTTCTCACCAACTGAGAGAACCCTGCATTAAGACAGACACAATAGTTCTTAGACACTAATAGTACTCGGAATGGTCAGAAGGGGGAGTATGGAGGTAAGGGAAGTCCAGTCTAGGAGGGAGGAAGTGATGGCACCTGTTGTAAAACGATCAATTTCAGGATAGAATATACATGATATGTGCATAAGGGCACAGCACACATCAACATTAAAGTACCCATTAGAGCGACATCAATCATTGCATACAGTAAGAGTATTGAGCTGCAGATTCAATATGAAATCATGCATTTACTGTAGTGAAATGAACTGCTTTGTCAACAGTTAACACACAATTCGCATGCACACACTGACAGACTGACAGACAGTTATGTATATAAACACTAGATGTGTTTCCTCCGAAGAGGGAGGGTGATGGATTGGACTACTTCTATTTAGAAATAAAAACATGAGACTAGGTGATGTTTTGAAGCCACTGCGCCGCCATTTTTGTACTCCTCGACCACTGTTTAAAACGTTTTGGAAGATATAGAAATGCATTTATTAATGTCTAGATTTGTTTACAGACACCTTAATGCATAGCTCAATGATTTACAAGTATGTCATACACTCTTGTTTTTATGTATATGTTGAATTAGTCAACTTTACCGATCAAATCTGATCAAACACTGTATAGCCTCAAAACATTTATTTTTATTATCATAGATGGTAGGTCCTTGCTTCCATATCTCTGTCTATGAATTTCAGAGTGGTTACATTAGCCTCAGTCTAGTAGTACCCTCTAGTGGCTTGAAGCCTCGTGTATCTTGTTCTAGTTCTGTGAAACCAAAACGCGTCGTGCTGTGCCCAGCCTTTGTCTTACTACTTTTTGCTAATAAATACAAATTATTTAACAATTCAGAGTTTGTAGCTATTTACCCATGCAACAAGAAGATTGATTTACAGCTTCAATATGACATGTATTTAGTGTTGTGAAATAAACAGGTTTGTCAACAGTTGTGAAAGCACAATTAGATCAAGAAAGTGGCACTAACAATATTGTGCCACTTTCAAAGTGGTAGTCAAATGCGGTATTATCATGCATAAAACTGATATAACTCACCTTTAGGGAGGATTATGAGCAGAATAAACAGGGAGTTGTAGAGTGCAGCAGACATGGTGAAAATGTGATTTACTACGACAGTATTGACGATAAGAGAAAAAGAGCGGGAAATTCCTTCTTCCTGTCACATGCTCCACATGCTGTTTATGCCCTCTTGCCAACTCCTCATGGAATTGCCATGCCAACATTTTTTTGCTTGGCAATGACAATGGAGTAGGCAAAAGCACAAACAGATCTGGGACCAGCCTACCTCCTGCATGAAAGGGAAAGTAAACTTGCTCTACAGTCATAGTTCAGCTCAATCAATTAAGCCTCCTGTATATCTGTCCCCCCTTTTATTATTACCTGTTATTACATTTATATTATTTCTCTATTTTCTTTCTCTCTGCATTGTTGGAAAGGGCCGTAAGTATGTGACATATGTATGTATGTGAAGTATGTGACATATAACATTTGATTTGAATTTGAAGTTGTGTATGCATTGTACTGACAGAGGAATCATAGGTGAGATCGGACAACAATGTAGAGGCAATAATACATGATGTAGGACAAGTTTATAAAAATGCATTGGAGAGATGGAACGCATGAGAACATACACAATATCTGAAGACAGTGGGACAGGCTTCAGCTTGTTTCACTCCTCTGTGGTGTAGGCCTAGGTAAATCAACAATGTTGTCATGGCAACATTTCCAGATAATGAAAACGTGTTTGATGCCATTCCATTTGCTCCGTTCCAGCTATTTTTATGAGCCGTCCTCCCTTCAGCAGCCTCCACTGCATGCAGTGCACCCTAGACTGAAGGGTCAGACAAATAGGAATGTGCTAGACCCTCTGTTAAATTACACATTTCCCGAGGTTGGAATATCGCAATAATATGATCAATGGCTCATTCGAGAGAAGACAACCTCCCGCGTTATGACATTGGCCAATATTTAAATCTGACATGTATGATGGACGCTTTTGCAATCTAAAGGTCGTAATCCTATTAACTTCCAGTGTAGTGAGAGCGGCTTTATCGCAATACTAACACACCGACCGAATTTCTGCCTGCTTGAACGGCAATAGCTCAGATACACATGAAAACATGACATGACCCGGGGAATCGATAGAACATCACTCAGAGATGCACAAAAACAATATAACCTTCAAGTTCTACGCTTGATATAAAGCACCCTTCAGCCTTGTGGTGGTGCAGAATCTATCATTGTTTGTGTCTAAAGAAGGAAGTGGATCTGTTGATGTGTCTGTGTTTGATCATAAGACCTCTCTGTGGTGAGTGCTCTGCAAAGACCCCAGTTACATAGACCAAGATGCACTAGCAGAGGGCCAAGTGTTCCTGTGAAACAGTAAGGGTGGGTTGCACCAACATGGATTAACTCTTAAACTGGGTTAAATCAAGGTTTATCTATTAATCTTGTTGCACCAAATTTTAAACCTAGGTTTTAAATAAATCATAGTTAAATTAAATCCTTCCTCTAATCTAAGTTTAGTTTTCACTTTAAACCTATATTCATTTTAAGCCTGTTGCTCAATTAAAAAAAGAAAGAACATACATTTAGATTGGAGATGAATTCTAAACTGCCACTTGAGGTGGGTTAACTGATAAAATGGCAGCATATCTACTGTGGAGAGACCAAAACGACAGAGTTCCTCAGAGAATAATTAGAGACATGTTGAATTTTATGATAATGATGAGTTTTCAAGGCAATACCGCTTCTCCAAGGACTCTGTAATGCAACTGGAAAGAAAGGTTGGACCAACCATTAAGCATGGGAGTGATAGGAATGAGGGGACATTCCTCTGTATTGCACCACCTGTTTCTGGTTTCCCATTTACACCTCCCATTGTTTTAAAAGCGACCTTTCGGTTACTGGCACAACACTCTTAACCACTAAGCTACCTGGATACTGTGGTGTCCTGTGTTTTGTGTACTCACTCATTTGCTGGTTACTCTGTTTGGTAACTTTGTTGTATGTTTCTGGGAAAAGGGGGATTTAAGCAAGTTGCCCATGGGCATACATTACCCGTAGGAAGAAAATTGTCTAAAAACACTAGTTAGACCTGAGCGGACCACCCACTGTAATATTTGTATGATTAGCAGTAGTTTAGCGGTTCTTGAGGCAGGCAAGATCAGTTTAGGTTTTTTTACATTATTATTTCATTTCTTGGGTCCTGTTCAGACCTTTTTCCCAAACCTTTACTGTGTGTTCAAAATAAACATCTTGTGTTTGACGGTAGTTTATGGTTGTCGGTGTAGTTTTTGTTCTCACTGTTTCCATGTCATGATTCTAATTTGCATGAATTATGTTACGGGTCTCTGTTCCATCCACCCTAGACTTTTAAAGCCACAGGGTTCGTAACAGTGTGGCAGACTTTTGAACACACTTTCACCTCCTCCTGTCAATCAGATCAAAAACGGAGCAAGCCCCTATTCCATCTCCCTGTTCCAAAAATCAATTTAATATATGGTCCCCAGATAGGGGACGTATCAGATATTAAACTGATAAGAACAGAATTTTTTTTTTTTTTTGAAAAATAATTTTTATTTTCATTTCACATTCAAATACAAGTACAAATTCAGTGCATAACGTTGTACATAACATGGATTTACAAAAACAGTACCTTAACCGTATAAAAATAGCAAAACTCCTAAAAAAAAAGTGCTGTTCTGAGGAACCTGACCAGCTAAAAGGCCTACATTCAAGAGAAGCATGTAAACAATTGCCTCTAACAATCTCCCAAAGCTGATCTTTCAAAGGAATAAAAACAATTATAGAAATAAAAACATACACATATACCAAAGGGAACTCTGAATAAACCTCAGTGTATATCAAATATTTACAAAGGCTTAGCCTACATTTCAATTTAAATGACAGAATACATATATACATAAGCCTATATATAGGCTATAAAAAACGTTTACAAAGAAGGGTATATCCCTTTCCATCTATGTTTAACAGATGTGATGCCCCACTTATCTATTTCGAATTGTATTTTTTTCCAAATTTCTTGTTTTATGAATTTAACCAACCCCCTCGGTGACCACTTGAGGGTGTCATTGACCGCACCACATCTGGCCTCCCAAAGTTTGATCTTGATAAGGGACGCCAGAGTCACTAATTATAATAATTGCACCTTTTCCACATTTTTTAGTTCAAATTTGGCTACCCCTTCATAATCGATGTTTTTAAAAATATTAAAATCTATTTTAATTTTCTTCCAAACTATTTGGGCAAAAGAGCATTCCCATAAAACATGGGGAATTGTTTCAATTGCGAAACAGCTGTCCCTGGGACAAAATTTATTCATGGTCAAAATTACTGATAAGAACATATTTTTTTTTATTTGGGAAAAGTTTTTTATTGATCAATTCCTTTAAAACAGCTCACATTTTAAATACATTTACACACATAAAAAGGCCTAAAGTGCATTAAAACCAGCATTACATTACAGTTACATTTTAAAAGGTACATGTTGTTTATTTAAAACAATCCTACATAAAAGTACCCATTCCTGTAAAAGCCAATTAGTAAAAGCCATTTAAAATGTGTATAAATGATTCAACAAAGTAAAACATTTTTAAGACATAATCATGACTGTAAGTCGCTTTGGATAAAAGCGTCTGCTAAATGGCATATTATTATTATTATTATTATAAAAAGCCTGTCAAAAAGTCACTTTGTTAAAAAAGCTGTCTTCGGTCCTTTGTACAAAAACGGGGTGAGTCCTTATCAAAAAAGCCGCCTCCTGCTCTTCCTGAAACGACTCCGTACCCGTCCGTCGGGGCCCAGAGGAGACTCCTCCCCTAGGCGCATCGCCTTTTCTCTTTCATATCTCTCTAAAGAAGGTCCTCGTCTTGCTCTTCACCATTTCCCACCACTGTGCTCGTGTGTCAAAGAAGTCCTGTGGCGTCTGCCACTGGCTGAACTGCTCCCTGTACTGGCTAACTACTCTATCATCTTCTAAAAGGGAGCAGTTCAGTTTCCAGGGCCCTCTTCCTACAGTCACACCCGAAGTTAGTGAAAGGGTGCACGTTAGCATTACGTGGTCTGAGAAGAAAGCAGGGGTTATTCTATCATCAGTTGGCGGGCAGTCGCGGGTAAACAGATAGTCAATGCGAGAGACTCTGGTGCCATCACCACAATTTTTGTTTTAGATTCCGTCTCTCACAGTTGAAGTGTACCTATGATATAAATTACAGACCTCTACATGCTTTGTAAGTAGGAAAACCTGCAAAATCGGCAGTGTATCAAATACTTGTTCTCCCCACTGTACATGTCAACTGCATATATTTGAGTCTTGTGAAATAGCAGGCCTATCAAATAATGACTTCAGACAAATACGTTACCGGTATGTGAGGCAGTTCATGTTACCAGTACATGACTTTAGCACATTTCATAGTTTATACTGTATAGTCTTCCAGTGTATATATTTCCAATCATAACAATTGTCTTCTTTTTGTTAAACTACTTTATTACTTAGCTATTTGTGTATATTTTTGATCATGTGTATTGCACTGTTGAGGAGAGCTTGCAAGTAAGCATTTCACTGTACCATTTACACCCTGTATCCTGTGGAGGTGACGAATAAACCTTGATTAGAAGATTAATGCACCATTGATATCAGCTATCATAGTCAAGATAACGGTGACTGACTTGACCAGCACTCTCTTGCCATCATTGACATTGAGATGAACTTGCTCAAATGTGAAAATACAATATACATCACGATCCTAACTAATTAAAACTAAGCAACTGCGTTAACTCTGCATGATTTATCTTCACAATGAGAGGGGGTGCACCGTTCCTGGAGGTACTGCAATACCAGGTCGATGCGTGGAGTGGACGGAGCAAGCCCCTATTCCATCTCCCTATTCCAAAAATCAATTTAATATATGGTCCCCAGATAGGGGACGTATCAGATATTAAACTGATAAGAACAGATTTCTTTTTTTTTTTTTTTTGGAAAAGTTTTTATTGTACAATTCCTTTAAAACAGCTCACATTTTTTAAAATACATTTACACACATAAAAACGGCATAAAAGTGCATAAAA